ACAATGAATTGAACTGATACTTCTAATTGTGTGGGAGTTTACTTTGAGGAGCCTGAATCCAGAACATCCTCTAGGCCAGTGGTTCTCAAACTTGGCTGCACTCTGCAATCATTTATCGGAGTGTGACCTAGGCATTGGGGTCTTTCTAAAGGGCCTTGAGGGATTGTAATGTGTGTTCAGCATTGAGACCAACTGTTAGGGGGGTCAGTCAAGTCAAATACCCAATGTGCTTGTCTAGGTGATCAAAACACTTGGAGGCAGCTGGGCAAAGGGTCTTGAGAAAGCTGTGTGACAGCATTGCCTTTCTCTGCTCAGGATCCCAGCCTGACTGTGGGCCCCACTCTAGAAACATGCAATCAGACGCCACAAGGAGCTGAGGTTTTGGCACAGATCTGAGTTCCCAAAGCCATTTTTGAGGCCAGTTAGCCGGCTCTCAACAACCTTCTCTTCCGAACCAGTGCTGGTTTGCAGGACCTGATCAGAACCCCCTCACTCCAGGGGCTGAGATAGTGTCACTTTAAAGATGACGGTATATGCCATTCTTCTGAAGTTGGGGCACAGGGGGGAACGGTGGGGAAGTGAGTAACTTTGGGAAAGATGGTGCTAAGGACCTAAGCAGCCCCGTTCTCCCTCCATCAGTAGCAGCAAAAGGCTGCTTTTGTGAAGCACCTTCTTTATTTTCTTTCAAAGCACAATACCTTCATGGGAGCAAAGCCGTAGGAGGAAGAGAACCTACCAGGGCATCAGCTTTGTGCTTCAGCTTCTTAGCCTCCTGCATGTAATAATCAGCATTGTGGACCCTAAACAAATAAAACACACTTTCAGAAACCAGTGTTGCTGCTTTTCATCTTTTGATGAAAAGATTGAAGAGTCAAAATAATTTTTTTTGCGACACATCTATTCTTATATAATGCCTTGACAAAGGTGGATGAATGCTGTCCTTCATGTTCTAGCCAACCTTGAAAGAATCCTGTAAATGCAACCCAAGTGTACGATGGCTCATTAGGATAAGTAATCCCATCCTCCAACCCCCACCATTACAGTTGTTCAAAGAGAGCCAACAAAACCTAGATGGTAATCTATTTGTTGGCACACATTTGTATCTGAGAACACGAATAAGAAAGCAACCTGGAATTAAGCACCGCCTTTGGAAACAGCAACAAAGCCCCACATCTAAACATGGGCCAAAGCCATGTCTTGGTGGGCTCAGAGATATACGCATGTGTATGTGGAAGAGGGTGCGTATTTAAGGTTATAGGAGCTGGTGCTTAAGTCTTATTCTAGGTGATATGTGCGTGGAACTAGAAATACCATACAGCCTCCACCCTCCATTCACCAGTCCCAAATTGTGTCCATGAGAATATGGGGACAACATACGAGTCATCAAAAGTGAGCTTGGGTCTCCGAACATTGGTGCTGCTGCTGGGCAGTAGGGGCAGGGCCGCCCAGGATGTCATCTCCAGGTGACTGCTATCCATGAGGCCAGTAGTGATGGCAGAGGTGATGGTGGAAATGGTGGTGGTAGTGGTTGTGGTGGTGGCTGTGGCCGTGGCCGTGGCCGTGACAGTGGTGGTGACAATGGCAGTAGCAGTGACGGTGGCAGTGTTGGTGACAGTGATGGTGGCAGGGGCTGCCTTTTTTGGAGTGTCTCCCTCCTGGGAAAAAAGGAGGACAAATAACTTCCATGAGGTAGAGCTCTTTAGAACATTTCATAAATCCTCTGAACGTCAAGCACACTGGAAACGAGACAGGCGGACAGGAACAACATGCACAGCTCGGGGAGAAATAGGTAGCCCTGACCTACTGTGGGAGCCTGTGAATCATTAGCTTTTGTTCTAGGATGACACCAAAAACTAAGCTAATGAGGTGCTGTGATTACATGGCCCTAGCATCCTACTAAGAATGCCATTTGCAAAGATCTAAGTCCAGTAGGAGCTCTGGTAGCATAGTGCCTAAGGCATTTGACTGCTAACCAGAAGGCT